TGGATGCCTTGTGTGAAACTTTGCATAGAGACCAATAATTTGACGGGATCATGATAGGTCGAGTGTTATATAGAGCTGGGTTTCCATCATAACATTGCTGGGTTCCTTGGTCCCTAATGAGCTTTGCTCTTTCTGATCGCACCATCAAAAAGGTAGAGAAAACTCTTATTTGTCCTTCTTTGAGCCAATCCGGTCCGAAAAAACCGCTGGTTTCATATTTTCCACAGTCGAAGCGGCTGGTTTTCGCTTTAGCGAAATGAGACACTGGCACTATTCGAATGTTTTCCGAAATTCAGACCTGACGCTTTGATTTAAACCAACAGCGTTGTCCCCGTCCCTTTAGTTCACCCTCCAAGAGCTGACGACAGAGACTTCGATCAGTGACAGATCAAACAGAACGTTCGATTTTCCGTATCTGAGGTGCAGACGATTTCGGAGGGTGTGGGGTTGAATGGGCTTGTAAGTTGTAATCATGCTTTGCCAATTGACAGTTTCGCCGGTTAAAAGTGCAAATGAATCACAGCTCAACAGCGCTGCTCAATCGTGTGTTTTCGACCAGCTGAATCATTTCGCAGCGGTGGCCCCGTGGTGTTGAGTTGCTACGGTAACGATAATCTGTGCCGTCTGGTTTTCTCGTGGAATCGATTCTAGAGCATCCAACTAGATTCACTCGCCATGCCCTTAATCAATGGATGAATCAAATCACATTCGGGGGTTCGGAGGCGGAAGTTATCGGACGTCATGTGTACCGACAACACCTAACATTAGCATACCTTTGGGTGAGATGTGAGTTTCGTTTTCCTAGCGGACATAGTTCAATCATCACCACACATCCACATAAAAGCCTTTGATCTGACACCTCATGTTGATCAATTTGATTGTCTCAAAACCAGTGGCTTCTCTCTCCCTTGTGTGCGGCGAATGACTTCAATCATGCCGGTGTGTATTTTCTGGACAGTCTCGGGGTGAAAAGCTCGGATTTTTAATCTACCAGAAAAAATCATCAATTTGATCAGGTGTTTTTGTAATGAGTTCACAAGGTTTCCTGCTTTTAACTGGGCAACTCTGACAAATTCACCTCGGATCTACTATGAAACCAATCACGTCCACAATGATCTCGCTTCTCAGTGCACAGTATTTCAAAGAAAGTGCGACCCTAAGTACCGGATCGCCTTCAGGGAAATGATAACCAAAACAGACAGTGACTTTGTTCACAAGTGGGACGTCTAAGTTCTTTGTGATCAGCTTACCAGAAGGCGATCCGGTACTTAGGGTCGCACTTTCTTTGAAATACTG